CTGGGTATATATCCAAAGGTTATAAATCGTTCTACTATAAGGACACGTGCACACGAATGTTCATTGCAGCACAGTTTACAATAGCAAAGACCTGGAACCAACCCAAATGCCCATCGATGACAGGCTGGATAGGGAAAATGTGGCACATATACACCATGGAATATTATGCAGCCATCAAAAACGATGAGTTCGTGTCCTTTGTAGGGACATGGATGAACCTGGAAACCATCATTCTCAGCAAACTGGCACAAGAGCAGAAAATCAAACACCGCATATTCTCACTCATAGGCGGGTGTTGAACAGTGAGAACACATGGACACAGGGAGGGGAGCGCTACACATTGGGGTCTGTTGGGGGGAAATAGGGGAGGGACAGCAGGGGGTGGGGAGTTGGGGAGAGATAGCATGGGGAGAAATGCCAGATATAGGTGAAGGGGAAGAAGGCACCAAATCACACTGCCACGTGTGTACCTATGCAACAATCTTACATGTTCTTCACATGTACCCCAAAATCTAAAATGCAATAAAAAACTAACGAACTAACTAACTAACTAACTAAATAAAAATAATTGCGTGAGGGTGACTAGCCTTAATGTTTAATATTAAAACTCGGTATCTGGTTGTCCCTGATTGCATCCTGGTTCTGCCACTTATGGACTGTGTGACCTGGAGACAGTTTGTTGACATCTTTGTCCTTGACTCTTCAGCTGCACAGTAAGGATATTACTGCCTAAATCCTAGGGTTTGGTAAAATTAAAGCAATTAACTCAAATAAAGGTGTGAGAAGAGTGCCCAGTATATAGAGAGAGTACAGATAATTATTAGCTCTGGTTATTTGTAAAGTGTTTTGGAGGTCTGGGTGCGGTGACTTACGCCTGTAATCCCAGCACTTTGGGAGGCTGAGGCGGGTGGATCTCGAGGTCAAGAGATCTAGACCAATCTGGCCAACATGGTGAAACCCTGTATCTACTAAAAATACAAAAAATTAGCTGGGCATGGTGGCGTGTGCCTGTAATCCCAGCTACTTGGGAGGCTGAGGCAGGAGAATTGCCTGAACCCAGGAGGCGGAGGTTGCGGTGAGCCGAGATCGCGCCATTGCACTCCAGCCTGGGTAACAAGAGTGAAACTCTGTCTCAAAAAAAAAAAAAGTGTTTTAGATCAGGACCAATGGTAAACCTGGGAACAACAAGCTGTTCGCACCAGCGGGTTGTAATTTGTGTTCATTTTAATTGTCAGTTTGGGACTATGATATTCAATGGATATTTGTAATACTATCCTTGGCAGATTCTCATATATTCTCACGTGGCATGAATATAAACACTAAAGGAAGTTCCCTCATCTTGTACTGCTCTTTGCCACTCTAGTAACACCTGATAATAAACACTTAAATGCTGAGTTTTTTCTGTTTTAAAATTAGAGAAAGAGGCAAAGTGTTTTCTGATCTACTTGTTGAATAAATTCTTTTTTTAATTAAAAAAAATTGTATTTACTTAGAAGCATTCAGAATGTCAACAAAACAGCTGCAACTTTTTTTTTTTTTTTTTTTTTTTTGCAATTACAGACTGGTATTCAGTTAACAGAACAACAATTATTTCGTATAAGCTGCATCAGAGACAACTGAAGATGAAAAAACTACCATCCCCATATATAACTAATTTGTGCTGTGAACCAACAAGAACCTGCTTTAAATTTCCATGCCAATTTACAACCCCCATACTGTACCAGGCAAGGTTAGTGGCTATTGAAAATACCACCAGGACAGGGCCATCTAAAGACACATTCGGTAGTGTGTTAACTATACAAAAAAAGACACTGTACAGTTTAAAAACAAATCTTACACAGCCTTACATTTCAATTTTTTTCTCTAAAAGGAGTGAGTTGTGTACAGGGGGGTTAAATGCTTTAATAGACAAGAAACAAAACTGCGCTAGAACCAACTTATTCATCATCATCATCTTCTTCATCTTCATCTTCTTCATCTTCCTCTTCCTCCTCATCCTCTTCATCTTCCTCATCTTCCTCCTCCTCCTCCTTCTTTTTCTTGCATTTTTCAGCCTTGACAACTCCCTTTTTGGCTGCATCAGGCTTTCCTTTAGCTCGATATGCAGCAATATCCTTTTCGTATTTTTCCTTCAGCTTCGCAGCCTTCTTTTCATAAGGCTGCTTGTCATCTGCAGCAGTGTTATTCCACATCTCTCCCAGTTTCTTCACAACATCGCCAGTGGACAGGCCAGGATGTTCTCCTTTGATTTTTGGGCGATACTCAGAGCAGAACAGGAAAAAGGCCGAAGGAGGCCTCTTGGGTGCATTGGGACCCTTGAACTTCTTTTTTGTCTCCCCTTTAGGAGGAATATAGGTTTTCATTTCACTCTCATAACGGGCCTTATCCGCCTTTGCCATATCTTCAAATTTTCCTTTCTTTTTAGCAGACATGGTCTTCCACCTCTCTGAGCACTTCTTAGAAAACTCTGAGAAGTCGACTGAAGCATCTGGGTGCTTCTTCTTGTGCTCCTCCCGACAAGTTTGCACAAAAAATGCATATGATGACATTTTGCCTTTCTTCTTCTTAGGATCTCCTTTGCCCGTGTTTAGTTATTTTTCCTCAGCGAGGCACAGAGTCGCCCAGTGCCCGTCCGGCTCTCACTTGCCCCGGCGCTGTCTCTATGGAGCTCAATGTACTGCAATGGCTGTGAGAGCGGGAGCCAGACGCAGCCTCCTCACTCTCTCCGCCCTGTAACCCAATAAATTCTTTTTGCCAACTAATTTTTTATGTACACTTGATAAACTTAAAGGTAGCTTAAAGTATATATTTATATAACTTTTATCTATAAGTGAAAAAAGTCATTTATCTTGAGAGAATTTACGTTAAACAGTTGCTTTAGGGTCTGTCTTTTAAAGTATTACCTTTTCGAATAAAGCCGGGTGTGGCAGCTCACGCCTGTAATCCCAGCACCTTAGGACGCTGAGGCAGGCAGATCAACTGAGGTCGGGAGTTCAAGACTAACCTGACAAACATGGAGAAGCCCCATCTTTACAAAAAACACAAAAATAGTCGGGCATGCCTGTAATTTAGGTAGTGCATGCCTGTAATTCCAGCTACTCAGGAGGCTGAGACAGGTGAAACATTTGAACCCAGGGGTAGCAGTGAGCCAAGATCGCACCATTGCACTCCAGCCTAGGCAACAAGAGTGAAACTTCTTCTGAAAAGAAAAAAAACAAAACAAACAAACAAAAAAAACAAAGACAGAAGAAAGTAAGAAGGAAAATAAAATAAAAGAAAGAAAGAAACAAAGCAAAAGTAAGAAAGAAATTATATTATTCTGAACAATGATAATTAACATATTTTATTATTAGTGGTGGGTTCAAACTACTCGTGATATCAAAGTTTACTTACCTACATCACTAAATAAGCAAGCTGTATGTAATAAAAAATATATGTATATTTTTCCTGAAATTATAATATATGAAGAAATATTTATTTCTCCTGCCCAATTTGTTAAATTTTCTTAGAAAAACACATGTACTACTAGTATATTTGGTTGACAAATCAAAATTGTATACATTTGTGGGGTAAAGTGTAATGTTTTGATATATATATAAAATATAGAATAATTAAGTCAAGTTAACTAACATATCTATCACCTTACTTACCTATAATTTTTTTGCGGTGAGACATTAAAACTCACTGTTAGTTATTTTTGTTTGTTTGTTTGTTTGTTGTTTTTTTTTTTTTTTGAGACAGAGTTTCGCTCTCGTTGCCCAGGCTGGAGTGCAATGGCGCGATCTCGGCTCACCGCAACCTCCGCCTCCTGGGTTCAGGCAATTCTCCTGCCTCAGCCTCCCAAGTAGCTGGGATTACAGGCATGCGTCACCATGCCCAGCTGATTTTTTGTATTTTTAGTAGAGACGGGGTTTCACCATGTTGACCAGGATGGTCTCGATCTCTTGACCTCGTGATCCACCCGCCTCGGCCTCCCAAAGTGCTGGGATTACAGGCGTGAGCCACCACGCCCAGCCACTGTTAGTTATTTTGAAATGTACAATACATTATCATTAACTGTAGTCACCCTACTGTGCAATAGATCTCAAAACGTATTTATCCTGTCTGTAAAACTTTGCATTCTTTTATCAACAACAGTCTTTGGTAACCAATTATTCCACATTGTACTTTGTTATTTCAACTTTATTAGATTCCACATAAAAGTGGAATCATGCAGTAGTTTTCTTTGTCTACCTGGCTTATTTTACTTAGTAAAGCATCCTCTAAATTTATCCATATTTTTTCAATTGATGTTGTCTCCCTCTTTTTAAGGCTGCAGAATATTCTACTGTGTATGCTATTATTCTAAATATATATGACACGTTTAGAATAAAATTGTAATTTAAATACATATTCATCTATTGGTTGGAAAACTCATGTGTAATAGAAAAATATTTGTGTGGCAACAAGTATTAACATAATTCAGCATATAAATGTCTCATTAATAATAGCTATTTTGTACTGAGCACTAACCATAATACTATAGATGTGTTAATAAATTTTGTTCTCACAGTGATATGGCCTGGCTGTGACCACACCCAAATCTCATTATGAATTGCAGTTTCCATAATCCCTATGTGTCATGGGAGACACCTGGTGGGAGGTAATTGAATCACGTGGGCAGTTACTCTCATTCTGTTCTCATGATACTGAGTGAGTTCACATAAGACCTGATGGGGTTTTTTGGTTTGTTTGTTTCTTTGTTCATTCGTTTGTTTTGATGGAGTCTTACCCTGTCACCCAGGCAGGAGTGCAATGGTGGAATCTTGGTGCCACTGCAACCTCCACCCTCTGCGTTCAAGCAGTTCTCCTGCCTCAACCTCCCGAGTAGCTGAGACTACAGTATGCCACCATTTCTGGCTACCTTTTCGTATGTTTAGTAGATACAAAAGGTTTTACCATATTGGCCAGGCTGATGTTGAATTCCTGATCTCCTGATCCACACACATTGGCCTCCCAAAGTGAGGGGATTATAGGTGTGAGCCAGCATGCCCAAAGAATGTGATGGTTTTATAAGGGGCTTTCCCCCCTTTGGCTAAGCACCTTTTCTCTTCCTGCCACCATATAAAAAAGGACATGTTTGTTTCCTCTTTTGTTATGGTTCTAAGTCTTCTTAGGCCTCCCAGCCATGCTAAACTGTGAGTCAAATTAACCTCTTTCCATTATAATTTACCTAGTCTTGGGTATGTCCCTCTGGCAGTGTGAGAATGGGCTAACACATACAGTCACTTAATAACAAAGGTATTATTATTATCCTCAATTTACAAAGAAAGAAACAGAGCCAGAGAGAGAAAGAGCTTGCTCAAAATAGCACAGCCAGTATTAAAACACAAGCAACTTTGACTCCAGAGATAATACTCTTGAATACAATACAAACACTTTCAAACAGAAAACAAGTTACCTTTAATATCTGTTCTTTAAAATTTAACAAAAATTAAAAATGGATGCATTTGTATTGTTATGAATGTCTGCATGTGTATGTATAATTTAAATGAGAAATACTTAATATAAGCCAGAAAATGATAATTATTTTCATGAATAAAATTGGAAAGCAGTTAAATTGTTATTTGCAGATGATACCTTTGTTTACTTAGAAAGACAACAAAAGCAACTGAATGGTTATTTTTGAAATCTATTCAGATGGGTGGACAAAATTCTAAGATGACCCTCAGGATTCCCACTTCAGTGCACACCTGCTGTGTAAACCATTTCTCTGGAGTGTGAGGGAACGTGTGACTGTGGTGGGACATTTTTTACGTAATTAGGTTATAATGTATTGGCTTCCTGTTTATCATAAGAGAGATTACCTTGATTAGACTAAACAATCAGATGTGCTTTTGAGAGAAAAAGCACATCATAGAAAAATACCTCTACTGCCGGGCGCGGTGGCTTAAGCCTGTAATCCCAGCACTGTGGGAGGCCGAGGCAGGTGGATCACGAGGTCAAGAGATCGAGACCATCCTGGTCAACATGGTGAAACCCCGTCTCTACTAAAAATGCAAAAAATTAGCTGGGCATGGTGGTGCGTGCCTGTAATCCCAGCTACTCAGGAGGCTGAGGCAGGAGAATTGCCTGAACCCAGGAGGCGGAGGTTGTGGTGAGCCGAGATCGCGCCATTGCACTCCAGCCTGGGTAACATGAGTGAAACTCCGTCTCAAAAAAAAAAAAAAAGAAAGAAAAATACCTCTGCTTCTCTGAAATTAATCAAACTTCTTGGTGAGCCATGTGGTAAGCTGCTCATTATGGCCACATGGGAAGGGTTATATTCAAATATTGTCTCAATTTCTTCTTTCAACATGATGTTTTCAGTAGGGAGAACAAGAGTTTCTCATGATGGAGAAAAAATAAGGGACCTCATTTATGCAACAAATCATCGCCCCCTCATGTGGGAGAACTTAAGAAAAAACAGAGATCAGAACATGACCACGTCAATGGGAAGCAAAGGCAACATGGTTGAAAGGGCTCCCTGGCCTTACGAAGCAATGTCTACACACCCGAAGTAAATGGTTAGCCTCTGGGATAACAATAGTCTACAAAAGAGGCTGATCATTCTCATCCTGATTAAATCAGCATTTCTGCAACATTCTGGTTACTAAATTCTACGTAATTGATTACAAAAATACTGTGCAGAGCAGTGGGTACCCTCCTAGAATTGAACTTATCATGAAAAAGCATACCCAATTCTTTAATTTCCAACATCAGAAAATGTTGAAAAAATAATGAATTTATTAATAAAAATCTGAATTTCTAATTTTAGAAAATTCCACTATTCTATAATACATTGAGGAACTTTGAACACCGTAATATGAATATTTTTTGAATGTATACATTGTTATGTAGATAGTTTCTCTTTTACATTAATGCAATAAGATCAACAATTAGAGAAAACATTTTTAATAAAAGAAAAATCATCAGAACCACATCTTTCAATGGCTTGGCATAATTGTCCTGCTCTTTGAAATGGTCATGAAGCAAAGACAAGGTTTTGGCTTTGTCCAATTTTTAAGTCTTTCACCTTTTGAAATCTAGTATCTTGGCTAAAAAAATTAGGAGGGAAAATTTTTTAGGTGGTTGTCTAGAGTGTTCAAGAGAATATGAGAAGAATTTTGATAGTTGGGCAAGGAAATGCATACAACATACACACATTGCTCTTCTCTGATTTGCTTTAACATTGAAAGGTTGGCAATTGCAAATCTAGTTCCTCAATTGAGGGTAAATTAACAAAAGTTTTATATTTCAGCTTAGCAAGGTATTGTATGAAATTTATAGGTAACAGATGTCATTTGCTGCAAAAAACAAAATAGTATGACTAGATTCAGTAACTATCTAGTCATGCAAATGATAGACCAATTAGATCAAGACCCTAATAATGTGTCAGTAGAAGGCATTCCTGTGCACTGTTGTGACCCTCCCCGAACACCTTTTTCTGTTTCCTTACAGAGATACCAATTTTTCCTGAATGACTCAGGAGGTATGCTGGGAACTCAGAATGCTCAGTGTTCAGAGTTGATTACCAGGAACAGCGTTCATATATTTCTTCTATATTATAAAGAAATGTTATAAATCTTACTCTGCCTCAGAAAGACTTCTAGTAAAAAGGTTGTTCATGTATTTGGATTCATGGAAATTTTCAATGTGTTATTTAACTCAGAGACACTAAAATGTCAACCAGGGCCGGGAGCGGTGGCTCACGCCTGTAAT